AGATGCTCTTCATTAATTCCAATAGTGACTTGCTAAAAATCGTCGGTATAGCAGTCGACAAGAATAATTGAGGCAAATTATGCAGTAGGTAGATGCTCGTGTAGGCAGAGAGGAGCAATCCAGGATAATTGCTTCATTAGTGCAGTTGCAAGATTGGGAGTTGCAGTAGGTAGATGCTCTTCATTAATTCCAATAGTGACTTGCTAAAAATCGTCGGTATAGCAGTCGACAAGAATAATTGAGGCAAATTATGCAGTAGGTAGATGCTCGTGTAGGCAGAGAGGAGCAATCCAGGATAATTGCTTCATTAGTGCAGTTGCAAGATTGGGAGTTGCAGTAGGTAGATGCTCTTCATTAATTCCAATAGTGACTTGCTAAAAATCGTCGGTATAGCAGTCGACAAGAATAATTGAGGCAAATTATGCAGTAGGTAGATGCTCGTGTAGGCAGAGAGGAGCAATCCAGGATAATTGCTTCATTAGTGCAGTTGCAAGATTGGGAGTTGCAGTAGGTAGATGCTCTTCATTAATTCCAATAGTGACTTGCTAAAAATCGTCGGTATAGCAGTCGACAAGAATAATTGAGGCAAATTATGCAGTAGGTAGATGCTCGTGTAGGCAGAGAGGAGCAATCCAGGATAATTGCTTCATTAGTGCAGTTGCAAGATTGGGAGTTGCAGTAGGTAGATGCTCTTCATTAATTCCAATAGTGACTTGCTAAAAATCGTCGGTATAGCAGTCGACAAGAATAATTGAGGCAAATTATGCAGTAGGTAGATGCTCGTGTAGGCAGAGAGGAGCAATCCAGGATAATTGCTTCATTAGTGCAGTTGCAAGATTGGGAGTTGCAGTAGGTAGATGCTCTTCATTAATTCCAATAGTGACTTGCTAAAAATCGTCGGTATAGCAGTCGACAAGAATAATTGAGGCAAATTATGCAGTAGGTAGATGCTCGTGTAGGCAGAGAGGAGCAATCCAGGATAATTGCTTCATTAGTGCAGTTGCAAGATTGGGAGTTGCAGTAGGTAGATGCTCTTCATTAATTCCAATAGTGACTTGCTAAAAATCGTCGGTATAGCAGTCGACAAGAATAATTGAGGCAAATTATGCAGTAGGTAGATGCTCGTGTAGGCAGAGAGGAGCAATCCAGGATAATTGCTTCATTAGTGCAGTTGCAAGATTGGGAGTTGCAGTAGGTAGATGCTCTTCATTAATTCCAATAGTGACTTGCTAAAAATCGTCGGTATAGCAGTCGACAAGAATAATTGAGGCAAATTATGCAGTAGGTAGATGCTCGTGTAGGCAGAGAGGAGCAATCCAGGATAATTGCTTCATTAGTGCAGTTGCAAGATTGGGAGTTGCAGTAGGTAGATGCTCTTCATTAATTCCAATAGTGACTTGCTAAAAATCGTCGGTATAGCAGTCGACAAGAATAATTGAGGCAAATTATGCAGTAGGTAGATGCTCGTGTAGGCAGAGAGGAGCAATCCAGGATAATTGCTTCATTAGTGCAGTTGCAAGATTGGGAGTTGCAGTAGGTAGATGCTCTTCATTAATTCCAATAGTGACTTGCTAAAAATCGTCGGTATAGCAGTCGACAAGAATAATTGAGGCAAATTATGCAGTAGGTAGATGCTCGTGTAGGCAGAGAGGAGCAATCCAGGATAATTGCTTCATTAGTGCAGTTGCAAGATTGGGAGTTGCAGTAGGTAGATGCTCTTCATTAATTCCAATAGTGACTTGCTAAAAATCGTCGGTATAGCAGTCGACAAGAATAATTGAGGCAAATTATGCAGTAGGTAGATGCTCGTGTAGGCAGAGAGGAGCAATCCAGGATAATTGCTTCATTAGTGCAGTTGCAAGATTGGGAGTTGCAGTAGGTAGATGCTCTTCATTAATTCCAATAGTGACTTGCTAAAAATCGTCGGTATAGCAGTCGACAAGAATAATTGAGGCAAATTATGCAGTAGGTAGATGCTCGTGTAGGCAGAGAGGAGCAATCCAGGATAATTGCTTCATTAGTGCAGTTGCAAGATTGGGAGTTGCAGTAGGTAGATGCTCTTCATTAATTCCAATAGTGACTTGCTAAAAATCGTCGGTATAGCAGTCGACAAGAATAATTGAGGCAAATTATGCAGTAGGTAGATGCTCGTGTAGGCAGAGAGGAGCAATCCAGGATAATTGCTTCATTAGTGCAGTTGCAAGATTGGGAGTTGCAGTAGGTAGATGCTCTTCATTAATTCCAATAGTGACTTGCTAAAAATCGTCGGTATAGCAGTCGACAAGAATAATTGAGGCAAATTATGCAGTAGGTAGATGCTCGTGTAGGCAGAGAGGAGCAATCCAGGATAATTGCTTCATTAGTGCAGTTGCAAGATTGGGAGTTGCAGTAGGTAGATGCTCTTCATTAATTCCAATAGTGACTTGCTAAAAATCGTCGGTATAGCAGTCGACAAGAATAATTGAGGCAAATTATGCAGTAGGTAGATGCTCGTGTAGGCAGAGAGGAGCAATCCAGGATAATTGCTTCATTAGTGCAGTTGCAAGATTGGGAGTTGCAGTAGGTAGATGCTCTTCATTAATTCCAATAGTGACTTGCTAAAAATCGTCGGTATAGCAGTCGACAAGAATAATTGAGGCAAATTATGCAGTAGGTAGATGCTCGTGTAGGCAGAGAGGAGCAATCCAGGATAATTGCTTCATTAGTGCAGTTGCAAGATTGGGAGTTGCAGTAGGTAGATGCTCTTCATTAATTCCAATAGTGACTTGCTAAAAATCGTCGGTATAGCAGTCGACAAGAATAATTGAGGCAAATTATGCAGTAGGTAGATGCTCGTGTAGGCAGAGAGGAGCAATCCAGGATAATTGCTTCATTAGTGCAGTTGCAAGATTGGGAGTTGCAGTAGGTAGATGCTCTTCATTAATTCCAATAGTGACTTGCTAAAAATCGTCGGTATAGCAGTCGACAAGAATAATTGAGGCAAATTATGCAGTAGGTAGATGCTCGTGTAGGCAGAGAGGAGCAATCCAGGATAATTGCTTCATTAGTGCAGTTGCAAGATTGGGAGTTGCAGTAGGTAGATGCTCTTCATTAATTCCAATAGTGACTTGCTAAAAATCGTCGGTATAGCAGTCGACAAGAATAATTGAGGCAAATTATGCAGTAGGTAGATGCTCGTGTAGGCAGAGAGGAGCAATCCAGGATAATTGCTTCATTAGTGCAGTTGCAAGATTGGGAGTTGCAGTAGGTAGATGCTCTTCATTAATTCCAATAGTGACTTGCTAAAAATCGTCGGTATAGCAGTCGACAAGAATAATTGAGGCAAATTATGCAGTAGGTAGATGCTCGTGTAGGCAGAGAGGAGCAATCCAGGATAATTGCTTCATTAGTGCAGTTGCAAGATTGGGAGTTGCAGTAGGTAGATGCTCTTCATTAATTCCAATAGTGACTTGCTAAAAATCGTCGGTATAGCAGTCGACAAGAATAATTGAGGCAAATTATGCAGTAGGTAGATGCTCGTGTAGGCAGAGAGGAGCAATCCAGGATAATTGCTTCATTAGTGCAGTTGCAAGATTGGGAGTTGCAGTAGGTAGATGCTCTTCATTAATTCCAATAGTGACTTGCTAAAAATCGTCGGTATAGCAGTCGACAAGAATAATTGAGGCAAATTATGCAGTAGGTAGATGCTCGTGTAGGCAGAGAGGAGCAATCCAGGATAATTGCTTCATTAGTGCAGTTGCAAGATTGGGAGTTGCAGTAGGTAGATGCTCTTCATTAATTCCAATAGTGACTTGCTAAAAATCGTCGGTATAGCAGTCGACAAGAATAATTGAGGCAAATTATGCAGTAGGTAGATGCTCGTGTAGGCAGAGAGGAGCAATCCAGGATAATTGCTTCATTAGTGCAGTTGCAAGATTGGGAGTTGCAGTAGGTAGATGCTCTTCATTAATTCCAATAGTGACTTGCTAAAAATCGTCGGTATAGCAGTCGACAAGAATAATTGAGGCAAATTATGCAGTAGGTAGATGCTCGTGTAGGCAGAGAGGAGCAATCCAGGATAATTGCTTCATTAGTGCAGTTGCAAGATTGGGAGTTGCAGTAGGTAGATGCTCTTCATTAATTCCAATAGTGACTTGCTAAAAATCGTCGGTATAGCAGTCGACAAGAATAATTGAGGCAAATTATGCAGTAGGTAGATGCTCGTGTAGGCAGAGAGGAGCAATCCAGGATAATTGCTTCATTAGTGCAGTTGCAAGATTGGGAGTTGCAGTAGGTAGATGCTCTTCATTAATTCCAATAGTGACTTGCTAAAAATCGTCGGTATAGCAGTCGACAAGAATAATTGAGGCAAATTATGCAGTAGGTAGATGCTCGTGTAGGCAGAGAGGAGCAATCCAGGATAATTGCTTTGTTTCTTAATTTGCATTAAGATTAGGGAGAGTTGTTATTTTATTTGAGTTTTGTAGAGCGTGTAATACAAGCAAAATTGTTATAAGTTCTTTAAGAAGAAAAATATTTCAATATATTTTTTCAGTATCTTTAACAAAAAATGACACAAACTTTATAAATCTCAACATAATACGTATAAATTATAACTACATTTTAATCTTAAAATTATTTACACCGTGCCTTTAGGCACGGGCATACGCTAGTATATATATATTATGACATTAATAGTTAAGGTAAATTATAATTATATCTTGAAATTTGTTTAAAACATAAATTAATCTTGTAATTTAAAAAATTATAAATATTTCATTATTAAAAATTTTTATTTAACAGAATTAATTAAAAAAAATTCATAATTATTCTCTTATACAATAATAAAATTATCTAAATTATTAATTAAAACATATTTCTAATATCATTGAAAATTATTAATTGATTTCATAATTTATTAATAAAAGAGACAATTTGTTATGAAATTAGAAATCTTAAGATGTAAATGTAATTTTTAAAATCACAAAAGGCGATTCGTATTTTAATCAAATCTCAGAGAGTATTTGTAATTTACCCTAATAATTATTTGAAAAATGGTTAACTCACCCACACTGTACAAAGATGAACCAACACATCTCAAACACATCCAAGCACCTCCCACAACTATTCTGGTTTACAAATTGTATTCTTTAATCTACATACCAAAGAAACAAATTAAATTCATCATCATTTTGTACACAAACCACATTTTCACCCCCACCATCCCATCTCATGAAACCCTTTCATGGTGTGCAAATTACAACCCCATATCAATCAAAACCCTAACATATTACTCGGAGGACAAATTCACACCGTCAATAGCCCTAGCTAGTCCCAGTTCGGTTGAATTCTCATGTTGTTTATCTTCAACCCTATTGCCCTTGAGGCTGATGCTGTCTTTATTGCTTGAATCCGCTGCAGTACAGTCCTGGAATCTGAAGCACGAGGTGAGATGGTCATTTGTTATTCCAGCAACTTGCATGAATGAGTAGACCACCGTAGGACCAACTCCTCGAAACCCTCTTCTCACCAGGTCTTTGCTTATTGCATCGGCTTTTGATGTCTTGATTGGAACCTGGCGGGGGTATCGGAAGTGGCTAACGATGGGCTTGTGGTTTACAAAACCCCATATGTACTTGTCAAAAGACCCAAATTCATCTATTATCTGGCATCAAAAGCAAGGCACAAAGAGAGTTTATAGTCTGATATTTAACTTGTCCAATCAATATAATACATCATGTTCACTCTGTTCAAAATAATTGGAATCTACAACAATTTCCATTTAACAGCCCAAGGAATAAATAACCAAGATACTATAGTCTACAGTAACCTTCACCAGAAAAGTAATCACAAATCTCCAACAAGGGAGACTTTAGTTCAGCGATAGTAAAGATGCAATTATCAACTGATAAAAACAAGAAATAGCACATACCTTACACATTTGACGTGCATTTTCAATGATGCCTCGGAGCTTCAGCTCTGAAAGAAGAGAGCTGGCAGTGCTTCCTGGTGTCACGGTCTTCTTCTCATTTAATTTTGAAACAGCAATTGGGTCAAAGTCCAGAAAGACTTCCCTGTGTTCAAATAAAAGTGTAGCTGTGATTTATCATAGGTCAAAAGTATTAAATAGAAGGTGACCATTTGATGAAGGCAAACATGAGGAGATGATCATACCTAAACAAGTGCCTTTTGTTGAGAATGACAGGCCAAGAAAGTTCAGCCAGAGCAATTGACAAGACGAGCAATTCAAATAATTGCCTGCAAGCCGTTATGGAAAGAGGACAGTGAATGAAATTCCATCTGACAACTGGAAAGCAGGAAAGAAACATGTGACTGACATCATGAAGGTTACTCACTTGTCATTATGGATTGGAACTCCCCATTCTTCGTCATGAAATGCAGCATAACACGGATCTGTTTGACAAATGAAAACCAATAAGCAGATAGGACTCATAAAAACATTATTTCATCCAATTTTATAAAATGTGCATGCAAGAACTCAAGCATGAAAGATGAAAAATGGAGCCAATTATGTATATGGCAAAATCATTATCTTAATGCGAATTTTTTAACTGATGCATGAAAGGTATATGTTTAACCACACACACACACACACAACACAAAAAAAAAAAAATCCCAAGCACCATGCATTGGATAATTAATAAGCCACAATGAGGAGTTCTCAACTAAACCAATAAGAAGAATAACAGGAACAAGAAAGGCAAAGGCATTCTTGTAAACAACCTCTAACTCACCAAATCCTATACCACAATCTCTTCCTCTGAAAAAACATGGCTTCCCAAAAACAACAATAACTAACTTCAAACAAGGGAAAGTGGCTCATTACTAATCCAACCACAATCTTCTTCTCCCTTTTTAATCTTAGATTGAGACAAAACACCATTGCATTTCAAAAAAACTCAACAGACACTGCCATTAAAAGGTCGCACAACCAATGCAAATCGTATCATAAAACTTAACATGAGTATGAATGCAAAGAACAAAGACACTAGACTACATATATATGGCACAATTCAGAAATCCCAGATTACATGTAGATATATTTGTCATTAATAGCAGAAGTAACATATAGGCTAAAAACCATGTGAAATAGCAAATCAATTTTCTAAAAAATTTAAGAGTCAGTGGAGGTAGGTGTAGTATATAAACCATGTTCTTTTTTTTTTTCTTTTTTTTTTTTCTTTTTTTTTAATGACTGGGTGTCCAATCCAACTTACGCACATCTCGACTAATCCCTAGACCCACGCAAAACGCCTCCTCCACATGGATCAGGCAAATCTCAAGCAGAGCCCCACGAGCGTGGCCCCAAGTAGTTGATAGCACCTAGTGGGAATTGAACCTGAGAGAGCACATCCCCAGGCTCCAAGCTGCACCCACTAGGCCAACTCCTTGGGGTTATATATAAACCATCTCTAAAGTAGGTTGACATTGATCCACTCTTGCCTATCTTCTAGTTGCTAAACAATCTATTTTGATATTAAATTTAAATGGATGCCTAGCTTTTGCTACTTCAAAGCCTGTCATACCATAAATCTTGAAATAAGATTACTGTTATAAATGGCTAGAATCTCCTTATCCAACATTCTTTATGGTTAGTAAAACAAACACTTCAATTCAAGGATGAAGCCATATCCCCACTGATTGATATGAAAGGTTTTCTGTGAACTACAAATACTTGGGCTGATTAGATGAAAAACAAATAGAAAATAAGAGTTTCAGCTGGAGATGAAAAATTATGAAAATGAATTAGTTGCATACATAATCACACCATTATATCCATAGTTAAACACTTCAAATCATTGAATGTGTGATGACATGCTTAACCAATCCTGTGTCCTCAACCATTCAACATGCTTTCTGAAAGTTTTGTGCTTTTTTGGTGCCCCAACCCCCATCACCAGCCACAATGAGAAGTTCTCAACTAAACCAGTAAGAAGAATAACAGGAACAAGAAAGGCAAAGGCATTCTAGTAAACAACCTCAAACCCACCAAATCCTAAACCACAATCTCTTCCTCTGAAAAAACATGGCTTCCCAAAAACAACAATAACTAACTTCAAACAAGGGAAAGTGGCTCATTACTAATCCAACCACAACCTTCTTCTCCCTTTTTAATCTTAGATTGAGACAAAACACCAATGCATTTCAAAAAAACTCAACACACTGCCATTAAAAGGTCGCACATCCAATGCAAATCGTATCATAAAACTTAATATGGGTATGAATGCAAAGAACAAAAACACTAGACTACATATATATGACACAATTCAGAAATCCCAGATTAAATGTAGATATATTTGTCATTAAATGCCTCAAATAGCAGAAGTAACATAAAGGCTAAAAACCATGTGAAATAGCAAATCAATTTTCTAAAAAATTTAAGAGTCAGTGGAGGTACGTATAGTATATAAACCATGTTTTTTTTTTTTTGTTCTTTAATGACTGGGTGTCCGAGACAACTTACGCACATCTCGACTAATCCCTAGACCCACGCAAAACACCCCCTCCACGTGGATCAAGCAAACCTCAAGCAGAGCCCCACAAGCATGGCCCCAAATAGTTAATAGCACCTAGTGAAAGTTGAACCTAAGAGAGCACATCCCCAGGCTCTAAGTTGCACCCACTAGGCCAACTCCTTGGGGTTATATATAAACCATCTCTAAAGTAGGTTGACATTGATCCACTCTTGCCTATCTTCTAGTTGCTAAACAATCTATTTTGATATTAAATTTAAATAGATGCCTAGGTTTTGCTACTTCAAAGCCTGTCATACCATAAATCTTGAAATAAGATTACTGTTATAAATGGCTAGAATCTCCTTATCCAACATTCTTTATGGTTAGTAAAACAAACACTTCAATTCAAGGATGAAGCCATATCCCCACTGATTGATATGAAAGGTTTTCTGTGAACTACAAATACTTGGGCTGATTAGATGAAAAACAAATAGAAAATAAGAGTTTCAGCTGGAGATGAAAAATTATGAAAATGAATTAGTTGCATACATAATCACACCATTATATCCATAGTTAAACACTTCAAATCATTGAATGTGTGATGACATGCTTAACCAATCCTGTGTCCTCAACCATTCAACATGCTTTCTGAAAGTTTTGTGCTTTTTTGGTGCCCCAACCCCCATCACCAGGAAAAGAGCAAGGTTTTTATCTCTTTTTGTAATTTGAGATCTGTTACGTGCTATATGAAGAGAAAATGAGGATTTTTTTTAAGAATATTATGCTTAATTTTCTGAGGGTAAACAGTATTATTCTTAAAGCTAAAAGGCTAAATAGGGTTCAGATTTTGGCATCTTTTTGGTAAACTGCACTTAGCTGAGTGAACAGTTATCAATTTTGGAGACAAGCAAACAAATTAGTGAAGAAATTTCAAATGTCGATTGAACAGATGAGGTTGAGCATGCAAAGCATATGACAACCGATAATAAATCTTACCAGTCCTCAAAATTGTATTGCTTGATCTTTATACTATCAGGATCATCCACCTAATGGATTTCCACACTTAAGTGGGGAAAAATATTATGATAGTGAAGATGTCAATCACAAGACCTATGCATTATTATGATTCATCGTAAAAGGAGATATACTCTCCACATCCTTTTTATATAGCATATCTCAGTTTGTTCACCAAGGACATATAAAAGGTATAAATGAAAATAAAGCTTATTCTATATGTTGCTAAAGCATTCAATGCTCAGAAGGACCAAGAACTCCTTCCTTCTATGTCCTTGACTTTCCATTAGTAGAGTGGATATCCATTTACCTAGATGGCTTTACGGTCATCTTTCAAAGGAGAAAAGAAAACAAAATGTAAATTTCACATGAAAATAAATATTGACACATTGAAGAAACTGAACACAGGCACAAAAGAATACAACAAAATGTAGATTGTGTGTACACACAATTGTGAGCATGCATCTATACTTATGCACCTAAACGATCAGACGACTCCTTTATCATAAGGTTGAATTTGAAGAAGCTAAAAGGACATGAGAGAGGGCAACAGTAAATGTACCAAGGCCATGTAAAATGACATGATGGCTAGCCATTTAACTTGCCATATTAGGAATAGTCAATTAGTGGAAATAAATTTGCAAAACTAGAGCCAATAGTTGAGACACCGTGGTGTAGAGTTGAGTTAAGCTTTCATGCTATGCCAAGTTCGCACCAAGCAATAGACAACATGCTAGATTTTTCTTCATTGGGAGATCTAACAATTTGAGTGTAAACAAACACAATAGAAGTTCCATTTGATGACCTAGGTAACTCCAAATTTAAAAAAGGCCAACATTTAAAATTAAAAGTACTAATAATATAATTATAGCTTTTGGGATTGATCATAGCTTATTTTGATTTGGGAGTCTAGACTACTTGGTGCAGCTTCTGCTTATAACTTATTAGGCAAAAATAGTTTAAATAAGTTGAAAAAGACTGATTTTTTGAAAGTTAGGGCAAGGGTACTTTTAGCTTCTGCTTTGTGATTATCAACTTTTAACTTAAAAAAAGCTCTACCAAACAGGGCAAATGTCTGCTCCATTACATGGCACTAGCTTCTATAGAGAGTTTAGCTTTCAAATGTTGCAAGTTTTCACCTAGACTAACAACTCAAAATTTCAACTCATGAGAAGAAATAAATAACCATTTCTTCCCATTCTAATCCATTTCTCACCTCTTTATTAATCCAATCAAGAGAAAAGCATTTCTTTTCTTCGCTTTTCTTTTCAAATCACCCATTCCAAATGGATTGTGCTTCTTTGATGGTTTTACTAAATTGAACTGGAAGGCATTGTTTGATTAGCACGATTAATAGTTAGGGGATTAACAATCCATGGGATTACTATAAGATTGATTATCCAGCTAGATTGGTGAGATAAATAATTTTCTCTTGCCCACGTTTGTTTTGCAATGGATATGGAAAAATATAATCTCAATTATATGTTTATTTTGTATTACTAGTTGTAGTATTAAAAAAATCCATCAATTTTATTAGATAGAATGTCCATTGAAATATAATCCACATAACAAAAATTATACCAAACAATGGAATGTGGGTCCTATTGATCAATAATCCCAATTCCATGCTATAAGCCACACAATCAAACAAGCCCTACGGATGCTTGATGACAAGAAAATATATTTGAAGGCACCTTAATTCACTATTTCCAAATCACTTTACTTGCTATGCACTATTGCTTAGTATTTTTTAAGTAATATATCTCCGCAAGGTTTGGTCAATTGCTAAAATTTTCACATTCACACAGATCATATATAGGCAGATAAAAAAGTAAAGCAACCATTATAGTATGAGAATATCAGTAAATGTAATTAGCTCAAGAAATCAACAAAAACATACCAGTGTTAGGCGTCACCCAAGCACATCTTTTCTTGGCCGGAGAAGTATCAGCTGAAGCCGCCGATCCACTGTCCGTATCAATAACAATCTTCTCAACTTTTTCCAACTTCGGACCACATTGCTTCCTCCGAATATGCGTCGGCGTAACACTCCTCCTGCTTATCTTCCCAGCCGAGGCCCGACTGTGAGACGAATCGGACGAAGTGTCCGACGAACACGACGCGTTCGGCGACAAATTCGACTTCAGTAAAAGCTTCCGGTGGCTCTGCTGCCTCAAAATCGATGGTACAGTAATACAATGCCCTAACGCCGCCGCTGTTGTCGCCGTTGCCGGTTGCTGCAGCGGCAATGGCGATGGCGGCGAATTTACAACAGACAACAAAGAAGATTTCTTCGCGTTGTCGTCATCGATTTCCTGCGGTTTCTCTGCTTTTCTCTGCGGTTTCGAAACCTGCTTACGCGTATCGATCGGCCTCGTCTTGTTCCCAGCCGGACCGAGAACAGGTCGGGACTCCGATTCTGGAAAATTCATCGATCTGACTCGCGGAGGACCAGACATCGGAGAATGAGATTTGAATTTTCCTCCAATTTCAACCAAACTAGCGCCTAATTAACCCCTTCTATGAAATCAAATATCTACAATCTAGGGCATAAATGATGAAACCGTGGAAAGATTGAAAATGTGAGAGTGCATTAGTATATGGAATTCAAAACCCTAGAAAGTGACGGAAAATGTGGATGGAGAGTTGAGTGAATCGGAGGCTGGAGAGTTGAAATCTGGATTCAGAAACCCTAGGTGGTGGCAGATTTGAAGCTGCATTGGACGATGATGAAGCTCACTGAGCAGTAGCAGTAGTGGTTGGTGTGTATTCGATCGAAGAAGCCAACCAAGAGCGCAGAGAGAGAGAGAGTAGAGAGAGAGGAAAGTTTAGTCAACTCTCAAACCAGTGACAGAGTGCCACGTCAGTACAAAACCAGCAAGGTTTTGGGCCCTCAGTGTCCGACCCGGTCCCACAGAGATTTCTATTTTTCACACTTTTTTTTGTTTTCTCATGGAAAGGCCGTTTGGATCCATAGGTAGGCATGCATCATGTCACGGGTTGTATAAATTGTTTGGGTCATATGTTTTTATTTAGTTTTGTACTTTACTACTAAAATTGATGTGATAAAATATATTTATATGATTTTATTACGTTTATTTTTTAAAAAAATCTGGTTGACGAGTATAAAAAAAATTAATTTTTTTAATTAATATAGGATAAAATTAAATAATTATGATTATCAAATTATTTTTTTTTTTTGAAAAAGTTATATATATAAAAAAATTATAAAATAAATGGATCAAAGAAGGAATTATGGGTCTACATATTGAAATAATTTAATTTATTTGAATTAAATTTGTTTTAAGTAACAGCATATACTCTTTTTTTTTTCTCTTTTTCCAAAGACCAAAATTATTGTTACCCAAGGTCTTGGATTTTCCATTTTTTTTTTAGGCTTATCTCTTCATGCTTTTCCATACCTCTCTTGTGGGTCTTAATCTGGACACACAGATGATATGAATCGTCTATCTCATATACCTCGCAATTAAAATTATCCATACAAAAAATTAATTGCATCAAACAATTATAAATAAAGGAACAACTAACTTCTTGTTTTATAAAATGAATGTATAAATATACAATTTACAAATCGTTCATTTTATAAAATAAAATACGATTTGTTCCGATTTGTTCTTGTGTTTAGTGACTTCGGCATCCCTCTTATACCTCATTCCATCCTTAGTTCTAAAACAATAATTGCCTCGGATGTGTAGTTATTGCATTGGATTACAGATGAGCTAATTCAAACTCTTCTGTCAAGGCCTTTGATGTTTTGGAGTTGTGTGATTGCAATGAATTAAGAAGTCAACATTTAGATGTGCTGCAGTTTATCTTGTGAAAGAAAGAATCTGTAAGCTTCTTTGTAGATTTCAAGTACTACTTTATTGTTTTACATGAATCACAGTTCTTGTATGAAATTTGGCGTTTCTTGATTTCCTTAAACCAACCATCTTTTTTCCCTTATGTTCTGCAGCCTCTAAATATGTAGCAGATTTGATAAACAGTATTTTTCTGTCTTAAGTTGTGTTTGGATCATAAATTTGGATAGAAAAAGTGTGAATTCCCTACCCAATACATTTTATTCATATGTTACCGATCTTTTTCTTTTTCCTTTTTAAATCTCTATCCAAATCCATGATCCAAATACAGACTCTAATGCTGTGTTTGGTTGGAGTTTTTGAGGTGGGATTTGGAAAAGGAATGAGAAATGTAATCCTATTTATGTTTGGTTATAATAAAAAATATATGGGAAAAGAAAGGGGGTGAGAAATAAATAAAGAAATAGGATATCTTTTAAGACATCAATTCTATTTTATAACCAACACAACCAAACATAGTTGGGATTTGGAATTCTATTAATTCTTTCTCCTTTTCCTTTCATTTCCATTTCCCTTTCCATTTCCCTTCCCAAATCCCCCAACCAAACACAGCATAAGAGTTGCAGCATTTATACTTATTTGGTGCCTAAATGTACACATTATTCTTATATTTTGATTTAGGATGCAAATGGAGGCGGTAAATGCAAAACAAAGCTAATTGGGCGAGTTTTAGACAGTTTCGACATCACTTCGTAATCTGGGAATAGCTCTCGCATCCGAGAAAAGTGTGAATTTCCTACCCAATACATTTTATTCATATTTTACCGATCTTTTTCTTTTTCCTTTTTAAATCTCTATCCAAATCCATGATCCAAATACAAACTTTAAGAGTTGCAGCTATATCTGATTTCATATTGCTCATAGCTTGGCTTTGCAATATACAATTGACGAAAAATGAACACAAACAAATTGAAGGGAAAGATGAAAGAAAGAAAAAGCGATCTTTTAGACAAGAGCTAAAGGCCTTTCAAAAAATTGAACGGCACTTTTAACGGCTTCGACATCAATATCTACCAACTTTCCTGTCTTGGATGAAACAACCGTGCATTTTTTCTCTTCTGCATTTGGAATAAAGAGTCTTCCCTTCTCTGCAGAACAAAACAATGCAATGCTGCAAGAAAGACACCGCCAAACAAAATGAGAATCTACACTCAGGGGTCATTTATGAGCATACTGAGTTTTTGGTTGGATCAAGTTTATGTGAGAATTTATTCGACAGAAATAAAAAACTTACCTGGGTTTTTCACGTGCATGTGCAAGTTGGATAGCTGCTGTATTCGTGGCTATTACCCCGATAGAGTCATTAATAAGAGCAGCCAGCTGAAATAAAACAACAACACGATCATGCGACAGTTCGTATTTAGCAAAGCTCCTTTCAGTTGCTTTATCATAATCTGTGTTTGATTCTTTCGTTAGTTGTTCTTGTTAAAAGGCCTATCTCATATCTTAACAAGGGATGACAAAACTGTAAGACGCTAGTCTGGCGTAACAATTTACTTCCACCCTGAACTTGATATTCCACAATTTATTTTTGCCTTCCAACGCGTTGTTTTGTTATGTTAGAACTTAGATATACTCAATAGCTATAAATGTAGAAAGAAAATACCTGTCCAGGCGTAGTGATGAAAACAATACAAGCATCATCTCCAACAACTTCCTCAACATTTTCCCTTTCTTTCTCGTGTGGAATGACAAAGATTGGCTTGACTCCTCTGTTTACATGACAAATTAGCAATTCAATTACATCTCATATTGTGCTTTTGGAACTTGTTTTGACCAAGACTTTATTTGAAACACATCATTCGGATTTTATGGTTTGTGTCATTGACTTGGATTCTGATTTACTAAATTTCATTTCTCATAATATGTTGATAAACCAGCCAAAAGAGCATAGAAAACATGATTCTTATCGGTAATACCCAATTAGAATGACAGCGAAACTACGTAGTTTTTCACACATAAATGCAAAATAGAAAAAATGGTTCTTTGAAAGTCCGGTTATTAGTATCTCTTCTTTATTTCTTTTTCCCATTCAGTGTGTAATTCGCACGCAACGAAGGGATCTCTTGGTTGCAATGCATGCAAGATACAGCTCGAGTCCATAATTCCTGTAGTAGATAGAATATCTTGACATCATTGAGCAAAATAATTGACAAATAGTTTATAAGCTAATGGCGAGTTTGGTTGCACAGCTGAGGAAGTGTTGGGTATAAAATAACTTTGAGAATCAACACTCACTCAAAACAACCACCGACTATACTGAAAGCATATTTACAATTTCTATTTTACTTTTTTTTTTTTTTTGTCTACTAAGTTATTTTGTGTTTATAAGATCGTAATTCTCTCTGGTTTTAATTAATGTTGATTTCTTCCTCTTTTTCTTTTTTTTTATTTTGGATACAAATTTGGATGAAACCAAGTCAATCAGTTTCTCAACATTAGCATACCTTATTGCCTTGGCTACTTCAGCCCAAATTTCAATGGGTAGCAAGCTATCAGTGTCTCCTCTGGACTGCATAGAAGCTTTTGAATCTGATTGTATCCCATGAATCACTATGTATTTTCCCTTTTCTGCACCGGCTTTCTTATATTTTGCCTCTACCACCTCCTTCAGCTTCCTTGATATTGACACTTTCAGAGGAGGCACAAGCTGCCTTGGCACACTGCGCCCTGGTCTTCCCAACCAATCAATCATCTGGTGGTACCTAAAAAGAAAGTCAAAGTTCATTATAAAAAAAAAATAAATAAATACACACATTTGATCGAAAAGTAGTATAGTTTTTCAAATATGGACTACAAAAATCTATTGTTTCACATGTTGTATCCGCCCTCAGAAAGATTCATGCTATCTGGAACAAATGTTTCTGATAGAAGTAATCCAGCTCCCGCAGCATTTACATTGGGGTACACGTAGCTCACTCTGTCGCGGGCGGTTGACATGAACAAAAATGCAGCATGGCCAAGCCCTGCCAGTTTGGTGGATAAGATCATATCATAATACCTACCCTGCAAGCAAGAAACAGCAACATATGCATTATGCTACCATTCCCAAATAACAAAGCCTTGTGAATTATTAGTATGCGAGTTTAATTGATTTTTTCTAAATGATGTTAGTCAGATCCATTCAAAGGAATAAAAGGTTCATTTTCTCTTGAGAAGCAGAAGGAAAAGCTGTCCTGAAAAATTGTGAGGAGAAAAAAAAAAAACCAAACAAATTGTTCTTGTATTTTCCTAGCAGAAACAACAGTTCAAATGGTTCTTTAAAGAATAAATTACATAAATAATTCCCAAGTATACGCGGCTCAAGGTTTTTGGAGGCCTCAAACTAAATATCAAAATGAGACATCATCAAACTAGACGTTTGAAAATTTGGGGCCATCAACAATAAGAATTTTTGGAAATTTTTCTATGGGCTTTATACGACAGCCTAACTGGCCTAATGGTTGAGCCACCTCTTCAAGCATACCATGGATTTCATTCTGGTCCCTAATCTTTTATTTGTATCAATTGTATCCCTAACTTCATATTAATCCAATTTAATTCCCTACCCTAGTCTTAAAAACATATGAAAAATAATTACATTAGCCTCATATCACGTATTTGAAGGGCATTAGCGAGAAATCTCATTATCAAATGAATTACGAGATAGGCGAAATGCACATCATTTACAAAACAAAACACATCAAAACTTTCCACTCCATTACTATATATATATATATATTTTGATCGGCAAAGAAAAATTTCATTAATCAATATGAAATTAAAGGTACAGGAAGATGAAATGCACTGAGAGAGATTCGGAAAGTATGAATACCCCTACTACTACTACTCGTAACCATACAACCAACCCCCTTGACCTCACGATTTTTTTTTTCAAAACAGGAAAAAGTTAAGAAGAACTTAACAGAAAATAAAAAACATGATTCCCCGCGAACTCAACCCACCAAAACACTTAAACTGCTGCACACACCCACGCCTATGATGCTGCACTCCCAAGGCCAACCACCCACATGCACACGACATGTTCATCACGCCAAGACCCACGCTGCTACACCTAATCTGCTACACTCCCAAGGCTACACAACGCCTATGCTGCTGCACTCCCAAGGCCACCACCGGAAAAACTCCATAGCCAACAGCTCCATGGGCCACACCACCGGAAACTCCATAGCTCCAACAGCTCCATAGCTCCACCGGAAACTCCACAACTTAATCACCACGCCAATAGCTCCAAGACCCACGCCTATGCTGCTCACTCCCAAGGCCAACCACCCACCTGAACACCGAACAACTCCAGCGCCTATGCTGCTGCAACACCCCTGCTAAACTTGATTGCAGCTCCAACATTAGCTGCCGAAGACATCGACTGCAGATCCACTGCCGTAAACACTGACTGCTGCAACGCCTAAGCTTCTTACTCACACCCACTGCAAATCCACACACCGACCAAACCACCTACCAACCGCCGGAAGTTCACTCCTCAAACTCTCACTCGAAGAGGAACGCTCGAATGAACACCAGACAGATCTGGATAGGCTTCGACACCCATGTTTCCGCCCAAACAAAGCATCGATACATCTCCACCAATCTGAACCAGAGTTCACCCCTCAAGCTCCTACTCGCAAAAGAGCGTGCGAATGAAGGTCTTGGACGTCCCCTACCACAGCAACACAGAACACACCTAAGTGGAAAAAATGGGGGAATCGACTTTACTGAAGGAAAAAACTAACAAACAACGGCGGAAAGAGCTAGGCCAGCCGACAGCCATAGCCAAAGGCGGCGGCCGGCCGGCCCAAAAAGAGGCCCAACTCCATTACATGGCATTTTGACTATTTGATTGATGTGCTAAAATGTTCTTAGCGAAAATATTTTTCATGTATTCGTTAGACAACAATTAAGAGAAGAAACGACGTTAGATTAGTGTGTGAAGTTTAAGAATGCAATTAAGACAAAATAAATCAAAAATAAATCAAAAATAAATCAAAATCTTCTTAAATTGCTAAGAGAAATGAACAAGAATTACCACACAAAATACACAAACAAACCTTAATTATCCCAATCATGTCAGTATAAACAGCAGGCTCAGGAAAATCCTCATCAGGATCATAAGCATCAGCCCACCTCACATTCTTATTCAACTCATAACTCTGCTTCCCTCTCCCCGCCGCCACCACATCCACCTGAACACCAGGATACCGATCCTTAATCAACTGAATTGCCGGAAAAAACAGCAAGTTCTCATAAACACCACCCGAGACAACACAACAACATCGCCAAACATCGCCTCTGATCTTCAGACCCAGAGAAGCAATTTCCACACTGTAACCCATTGGGAATTTGAGGAATCCATACGGGTTCTCAGGGTTGTCGGGTGGTCTTGGATCTTCCTCTTGCTTGCCATCGGTGAAGAGAGAGCCGTATTGTAATTCGGGGTCATCACCGTCGTCGAAAGGGTCGAGCCATGGGTTCTTTTTTTTCTTGGTGGCGTTTGGAATGAGAGTGGTGGTGGGTTTTTTGGTGGAGAGAGGTGGTTGGTTAAAGGAGAGATTATTGGGGAAGTGGGTTAGGGGAGATGATGAGGAAGAAGATGATGGGTTTGTGGGGAAAGGTGAGATGGATTTTGGTAGAAGAGAAGTTGTTGTTGTTGTAGTAGTAGCCATTTTTGTGTACGGTAGAGCTTTAGAACACTACTTTCATGCTTTCTGGTTTTATGGTTGAGATGTGAAGTGGCATATGAATATGTGTGGAAGATGGTTGGATAAGTGGGTCCCGATCCCAGTGTTTGGAGTTTTGAATTTTTTTTGAATACACATTGTTTTAAAATAATTTGTTTATTTTTTTTATATTAAACTTATATTGTTTTATAAAATTGTGTTTTCAAAATACAATTTTAAGGTTCCAACTATTATTTTACATATATTTTTTAAAATTTGTCTTATTTCAACTAATTATTATAAATTTTTTTTTTTAAATTGTATTAAAGTTGTGTTTTGAAAGCAACTTGAGTTTGGAAAATAACTTCCAAATTGTTTGAAATTGAAAATTTTGTTTTGTTTTGTTTTGTTTTTGTTATGTAAGGTACTCTAGCATCAAATTAAGTCCTTACAGTCCAAACAAGCTTTTCAAAATAAGTTTTTATGCGATCTGTCGCTTCAGGAGTTTTATGTTGGTTGGGAGAATCGAACATGAGACTTACAGAAAAATAAGTTTTCATGCAATCTGGGACTTCAAGAGTTTTATGTTGGTTGGAAGATTCAAACCTGAGACTTTTAGAGGAAGCTGACTCTTAAGCCTCAGACCTCAAGCCACTAGGCCACCCCTTTAAAGTTAAATTTTGTTTTAAAACAACTTGCGTTTCAATGTTTTAAAAACCGGACTGGTGAGTGAACCGGAAAAATGATCGGGTGGACGGGTCACCGGTTCAACCGTCGGGTTGAACCGGAATCGAACCGTGACGTCATAAATATATTAAAATTCATTTTAAATAAAAATAATAAGTAATAAAATTATAAATTAAAAATTTTATAAATCTTAAATATTTCTCTTAATATTTTTTTTATTAAAAAATATAAAAATATATTTAAAATATTATTATTTTTAAATTTTGGAAGAAGAAAATCAAATATTACATATTCAATATTCCCTCCATATGATTTTAATTCAAATAATTTGATTGAAAGAAGAGCAAAAATTTGGGAGGGATATCAAAACTTTAAGTTTCCTCCAATAGATTTGATTGAATCCCACATAGATTTCTTTGAGTCTTTTTAAAAGAATTTTTTTCTTATAAATAGGTGAAGACTTTCACAATAATTTCATCAAAACTCTTAATGAGATTCCTCACAAGAGGAGACCCTTGAAAAAGAGTTTTCAATTAAAGTTTTCTTTTATATATATATAATATATAATATATATATATATATATATATAATATAAGAAAGAAAGAATAAAAAAAAGAAAAAAATGTTCTCTCAAAATAGGCCGGTTTTTCACTGTGACCGGTTCTATGGGTGTACCCGGACCGAAACCTCGACCGGTCGGCGGTTGAACCGGCCGGGCCGGTCCGGTTTTTAAAACCATGCTGCGTTTGATAAAAAAACAAAAACTCAATTCCCACTCTTCTCGTGGCATCCTCTCTCCCCAAAATTATCCGCACCAATTTCATTTGTGATTTTTGTTGATTAATGACACCATTTATTGATTGATGACATTATATAAAATGATATTGCCATTGCACTCAATAATTATTTATCTCCAATGTTCTCTTCACCTCGCCATATTCTAATTTTCCAATTTAATAGTGGTTATTTTACCAAATTGGGCAGTGGGTCATATGCGGCTTTTCCCAAACTAAGCCTCTTTTGTATCCTATTTTTCAAATTAGGCCTAGTTTAGACAGAATTTCCAAACTAAGTTAAAGCGCTATTACAAATCGCGCTTTCACTGTTTGGAGCCCAAAATGTGATGAATAGTGAAAGTGCTATTAAAAACCGTGCTTTTAATTAATAAAGCGCTGTTAAAAATCACGTTTTTAACATAAATTTTTTTTTGAAGAAAACGCTATTCGAAATAGCGCTTTCACTATGCATTCGTATTCGGAAGAAAACGCTATTTGAAATAGCGCTTTCACTGTGCTTTCTGAGGAAAACGTTTAAAATATATTAAAATGTGACCAAAATAAAACACAAATGCTTTGTAGCACAAATGGTAGTGTGCTTGTCTTACCATCATAGTGGCGTGGGTTCAATCCGTGGGAATTACTACCTTTTAATTAAGTTCAACTTTTTTTTTTTTTTCTTCCACTCTACACTTTATATATTTATTATGTAATTTTTTTATCAAAAAAAAGTAAAATGTTTGTTTGGTTAACTAAATTTTGTTTCTATAAAATACAATTTTTTTCAAAATGTCAACATGATTATTTAAAAAGTATTCAGTGTATTTCTATAACATACAATTTTTTTCAAAATGTCAACATGATTATTTAAAAAGTATTCAGTGTATTTGATTTGAATTTTTTGGATTTAGTTATTTAAAAACTGAGTTTTTTTATTTTCGTATTTTTTTGTTTTTAGTGAATATTTTTAAAATTTTAAATATATATATATTTTTTACTTTTTCAGATGCACCTTAGTTAGATGTATCTAAAAAGTAAAAAAAATTGTAAAAAAATATTTTACAAAATTAATAAATACATAAAAATATAAACAATGTACTGAAAAAATATTTTTTTATTTTTAGTATCTTTTCAGCAAATTTTCATTTTTTTCAGCAAAATGTACTCAAAAAAATATGCACAGTGAAAGTGTATTCCAAAAATATTTTTTCAGCAAAATGTACGCTTTTAAAATATTTTAGTACATTTTAAAAGCGTACATTTTTTTTATTTTTTCATAAATATATAAAGTATAGAGTGAGTGAAAAAATACAAAAAATGTACTGAAAAAATTAATACAAAATATTAATTTTTTCAGCAAAATGTACTAAAAAAATGTACGCTTTTAAAATATTTTGGTACATTTTAAAAACGTACATTTTGCTGAAAAAATATTTTTTGAGTACGCTTTCACTATGCATAATTTGCTAAAAAGATACTAAAAATACAAAATTATTTTTTCAGTACATTTTTTGTATTTTTATGTATTTATTAATTTTTTAAAATATTTTTTCACAATTTTTTTACTTTTTAGATACATCTAACTAAGGTGCATCTAAAAAAGTAAAAAAAAAATGTTACTCTCGCCCAAGCACGCTTAACTGCGGAGTTCTGATGGGATCCGGTGCATTAGTGCTGGTATGATCGCACCCGAAGATTAACCGCGACTTTATAGGGGTGCAACACGAGGACTTCCCAGGGGGTCACCCATCCTAGTAACCTGGAAATGGTTTAAAAGGGAGAAATTGTCGAAAAGGAGGCGAAGGCGATTGAATGGGCTAAAAATCGGACAGGCTGTCCGGGGAAAAAAAAGAGAGGGGGGGGGGAAAAAAAAAAAAAAAAAAAAAAAAAAAAAAAAAAAAAAAAAAAAAAGTTGAACTTAATTGAAAGGTAGTAATTCCCGCGGGTTGAACCCACCCCTGTGGTGGTAAGACAAGCACACTACCATTTGTGCTACAAAGTATTTGTGTTTTATTTTGGTCACATTTTAATATATTTTAAACGTTTTTCTAAGAATGCACAGTGAAAGCGCTATTTCAAATAGCGTTTTCTTCCGAATACGAATGCACAGTGAAAGCACTATTTCGAATAGCGTTTTCTTCACAAAAAAAAAAAATTATGTTAAAAACGTTATTTTCAACAGCGCTTTATTAATTAAAAGCGCGATTTTTAATAGCACTTTCACTATTCATCACATTTTGGGCTCCAAACAGTGAAAGCGCGATTTATAATAGCGCTTTAGCTTAGTTTGGGAATTCCGTCCAAACTAGGCCTATTTTGAGAAATAAAATGCAAAAGAGACTTAGTTTGGGAAAAGCCCCCAAAACTTGGGACTAGGGTACAACATACACTTCGAAGGCCAGAAAATCCTGTGCCTCCTGGCCTTAGCAACTGCCATAACAAAGGGACACTGCATTTTGGTGAGACACATAGATCTATCTACCTTTCATAATCAAAAGCAATGAATCACACATCACCTGGCACACAATTTTTGCACAAAAAATTTCAGATCTACTTGTCATCTATGGTAACTCTATATTAGGGTTTTGTGCTATATGCTAATCAATTTGTCCCAGCAATGGCCCTCAGATTTTTACCAGCAATACCAATATCTAATGAAATTATTCATCGGTGCCCTGTGTCATGGACACAGTCCAAAAAATCCCCAGATGTGGCAAAGCAAGTGCATTAATCTCATTCTTTTTTCTTTTTTTTTTTTATCAGAAATGATAGTTCATGAAAGTTTAAACAGATTATTAAGTTATGATTCCCATGAACAATCATTCTAAAGCAAAATAACATGAAGCCTCAACATCAAAAAATACACTCAGCAATTGAGTCTTTTTCCCAATCATAAATATACAAGTTCACATTCTCCATATTACAAAAATCTGCAAAACAACACTCAATGCAATTCAAATCAGATACACAAACTTTAATATCATTGCTATTATTCATTATAATACAATTAATTCTTCCGACCAACAGGTAAAACTAATCATCATGCAGAAATTTTACTGACAACAATAAGGTCAATAAGGTCATCATTACATCTTCGGTAAAATTCGAGTGCGTTAACATTACTGCAAAAAATAAAAAAATAAAAAAATAAAAAGTAAGTCGGGTATGGGGTAACAAAATTTATTGAACCAAAATTTCAATCTTACGCCGGCAAAAAAAATGAAAACCTTCATATAGGGAGTCTGATGTGCTGGTTCCTCTAACTCACTGTCTCTGGTCAGTTTCTTGCCAAATTTAAAGGAGTGGCTTGGCACGAGTGGCAGGATCTTCCTTAGATTCTATATAGATCATAAACACATAACCGAGAACCCACAGTAGAATGTAGAGGAAGGGGACCCAAGATAGACAAGCAAAAAGACTCAAAATACTTCCAACGTATTGAGGATCGTTTATTACCCCAAAGGGAAATTCAGTTGCCCATGGGATGTTCTTCCCAAAGCGAACACCATAGTAAGTACCTGATTCACCAAGCAATTGGTATACCCTGTAATTGTTTGATGTCTCAGTAAAAGAAGCTAATACATAAATTAAAGTGATATGCAACATTAAAATACATATTAATCACATGGCAAGTACATAAAACTTGCACTGTATTATACGTAGAAACAGTTTCAAGAAATGCTTTTAAAAAGTTATGATGCTCGCGTGATTTAAGAAAATGAGATTTATGGTTCGTGAGAACAGATTCAATGGCTGTCTGACATGAAATGAGAGAACTTTTTTTTTCTGTGTACTATTTTCGGGAAGAAAAAGTTAGGGGGGAGGGGGTGGTTCAATATTTCCTTCCTACTTATAGCAATTTTTTTGCAATTGCATGACAGAAGAATATTACCAGTTATGGACGAAATCCTATTCTTCCATGAGAACACAGTTGTGTATTTGTTTGGATAAGCTTTTTTACTAGCGTTTTAATTTGACTTTAGGCATTTTTCCTAGCATTTAGATTTGGATTTCAGTAAAAAAGAAAAACACCACACCAAAAGGCCATAAAAAGTATAAAAAAAAAAGAAGGAATGTTCATTAAAGAAATGCCCATAAAAAATTTAAAAAAAAATTGAAAAAGGCAACAAAAAAGCTGATCCAAACCATAAACATATGAACACTAACCCTTCAAAACAAGTGTCGTAGCTATGTCAGACAGGGACACGCCACATGGTGTTTCCCTATATTTATTAAATTTGTTTTAGAGGACATGCCAGGGACATTCCAGAGACACCAACTAATTTTTTTCCTTAGTATTTTTTATGGATGTTGGATGTTGATTTTTATTTTTATTTTTATTTTTTTTTAAAGATTTAATAGATCATCCATAAAAAAATAAAATAAAATAAGGGATATAAATGATAAGTATTAATTTAAAAGTGATTTTTTACATCAAATTAGTATTAGTTTTTGTTAATTTTGATTGTTTGTACATGTAATATTAATTTACATAGCAAATAAAAATATATGAAAAAAATATTTTATTGTCGTGTCTGTGTCCTCATTTTTTTTGAAATTACCGTGCTCCGTATCCATGCCCATGTTCGTGCTTCTTGGCCATAAACAGTCCCTCTTCACTGATATTGACATGTAGTGTTGGCTCCAATGCAAATAAAAAGGGGAACACAAAAGGCTCTTAACCATTTTTACAAGATCCAATTGCAACTATTCCTACTTTAAACGATCCATGTGCGACTAAACTAGCAACTACCTTTGCAATCCCTCAATGGAGCGGATGTCTGACCAATCTGCAGACAAAACTTGGCTCCACATAAAATTTACCTTTTTTTTTTTTCCCTTCTTTTCTTGATCAGTTAATTGTAAGAAGTCATGTCTTAAAACTTGGGCATTTTGTACAAGCATTCTCTACACTCATCTAATTGCAGCACTAGAAAGCCGGTCTAACTATCCTGTCTCATATTCCCCTTTTACACCCATATTCTACCCATTTTCTCCTTACTACTTTCTACATGAAAGACCTATATGGTTACCATTCCTCTCTGTACAGGCCTTAACGGATATCCATGGGTTTGAATCACAAAGCCAACTAGGCTCCCCTCATCATAATGGCTGTATAATTATGTCATTGCCTATCTTCCTCACCTTCTTTTGCATTGCCTTCCATTATGTCAATGAAACAAGAAAGCAACTAACAAAGAAACATTCATAGGTTTTGGTGATTGTTGAATAGCTTGATATACATTGGTGGGCCTGTTTCCTATCAGTTTAAGCATTTGGGACAATTTGGTAATTTAATATGATATTAGAGCTCAGGTTGAGAGATGTCTTGGGCTCAACTCTCTCGATTGCCATTTGGTATTTTATCCCCATTTGGTTTCTTTTTCTTTGTTTGGTTCTCTCTGTCTCTACACGTGCAAGATGGGGTTACATGTTAGGGAAGTTGTTGAATAGGTTGATATATATTGTTGGCCACATCCTAACAGCTTAAGCTTTTGGAACAATTGGTAACTTAATAGTGATATCAAGAAAAGATGATATGGAGGCAGGTGTCCATACTTGAAACTACATCCTAGAATATGCATTCATACACACAATGCTACAAACAGAGTCCATCCTCTCTTCCCCTTCCCACTGTTTCCATGAACCACCCTCATACAGCATTTAAGCATGAATGCTGCTTTTGCTCCACATTAGAGTTTCCAAGAGTGAAAGAGAGTATCAACTTCTGACCCAAGGTCTTGTATCTAACATGAAAGTTCAACTACTCTGTGAGAGTGCAAAACTTATGGAACCCCTTTTCTTATATCTGCCCAAGTCTTCCCCAATTGTTCCTCGTGAATGTTACGAGAAACAGTTACTTTCATGGGAGCACAATATTTACTCTTTCCTACAAACTCCTCTGCTAATAAAATGTTGCCAATTGCATTTTGCTAGGCATTGCAATTGATGCAGTGTACATTACTCGACCATCTCAATGTTTACTTTGTCCAATTTTATCACCATGAAAACAAGATTTCTTGAGGCAGTTTTAGTTAATAGTTATATGTGAATTAAGAAGAAATAAAGAAAATCAAAGGTTCTATTTAATAGATATTAGGAAAAAAGTAAAAAACTAAAATAAAAATAAAAATAATAATAAAAAAAAACATTGAATATAACAACTCAAAACAGATCAAAGTGGCCAGAACAGGCCCAAATGGCCAAAACAACATAAAGTAGGCTAAACATTTTGCGTCCATATTAAAGTAAGAAGATTGTGAGGACTAGTTGTATTGGTTCTACTCCACACAAAGGAAGGCACCTTGGGTGGAGCCTTACTCCAACCCTTAGTTGCATGAAGCGGAAGCGGGGGAAAAGAAGAGAGGGCATATAGAAGTTTCTTATGTTAGGAAGCGTATATATATTTATTTATTAGATATATAAAGATATTCTAACAATTATTTTTTGCTCCTTAGTTGTAATATATGTATTAAAATATGAATAAATATCAAAGATTCATGTCAACTACAAATTGTTTTCTAAGAAGCACAGACACGGATTCGGATGCGGATAAGGACACGGGAACACGGAGATTTCAAAAAAATGGGAACACGGACATGGTGGGGATATGGCAATAAAAATATGTTTTCATATATTTTTATTTACTATCTAGATTAATATTACATCCACAAACAATCAATATTACCAAAAACTAACTCTAATTCTATTTTTTTTTTTTTAAACACTTTTAAATTAACACTTACAATTTATATATTTTTTTATGGATGATCTATTAAGTATTTAAATCTAAGAAAAAAATAAAAAACATTCAACATTCATCAAAAGTACTAAATAAAATGGGGGAAAAGATAACTTGGCATGTCCCTAGTGTGCCCCCGAAGTGTCCGCATGTCCCCGAAGTGTCTGTGTGTCCAACACGGATACCGCATTTGTTTTAAAGTGTCGGTACTTCATAGATTGTCTTTATTAAGTATAAATAAATATTATATAAATAGAAACAACTAAAATAAGTTTGAGTTATTTTTCTTTTGTTTTTATGAGCTTTATATGTTTGAGAGGTTTTTATCTCAATTGGAAGCAAGTTTCTTTCTTGACAAGACCAAGTTTCTTAAAATTTTTTTACTTGTGAGCACGTAATCGTGTTTCTTAGTAAGAAATGCCACTCGAATAGAAGGTTCTTGCTACTAAGCCAACCACCCCTTCCACAGGGAAGCAAAACACCTCCCCTGCACACACAATATTTGATAAAACACCCAAAAAGGGTACCCAATTCCTTCTCTGCTCATCCCCAAATTGAAACAACTACCCACAAGCCCTGTTTCCCCTATGTCAATTCACCCTCCAGATGCTTATCTAACCCAACATCAAAACATAAGGATGATAGGGTCACACTCCCAAAACCCCTCTCCACCAACCTATAGGAAGCATCCGGACTTCTCCCTTCTTCAAAAAGATCAATCGTCTTCTACCTTAGCTTGGAAGATCACCATGGTATTAGAGAACCAGATATGTTATGGTTCTTACGCACTACCACCTAAGGCGGTTTACTAAATCCAACCCCTCTTTTTTACATTCAAGAATAATAGTGTAACGATGATCCTTGATGCCTAAACATTTCACTATAGGATTTGGAAAAAGGAATCGTACTTAACAACCCATTTAGATTGGGTAGAAAAGAAAAGAAATGCATCTCTCTTGATCCATATTACTCGTTTGGATAAGCAAAGAGGACAGACATGTAGTGAAATGAGAAGAAATGGAAAGAAACTCATTTTTCTCATAGCCCCTATTTGAATCTCTCCAAAAGTTGAGAGATTGGGAAAGAAAATAAACCAACTAAATACTAAATTGTTATAATACTACCCCTTTAGATATAGAAGAAATAAAAAGACTAACACCTATAAAAGGTTAATTTGGTAATATAACATGATATCATTTCTTTTATATAGCTTAACCAAACAAGATTGAAAAGAAATAAATATCTCCTTTTTTATTTTCTCTCCTATTATCCAAATAAGATAAAGAGAAAACACAATCTCTTTTCTTTTCTCTCATAACTTACATAATCATTTCTTTATGTTTCTTTCCTAAGTTACCAAACATAGTGCTAGTGTCAAGAAATCTTCAAAACATAAAGGATTTGGAGCTCGGAGAGATTATATCACCCACTACCAATTTACCATACATTCAATTTTAAGCTACTCAACCTCACATCACAACCATGTTAAGTGTGCATTGTGATGCTATAGATATATTTTATCTTCAAATATAAATCAGATTAAGTAGCAAAATAATTAAAGCCCATTTGGTGTAGCTGTTAGAATGGAATATAGGTTTTAAGCATAAACTTCTAACATTTTTTGCTGCAGTGAATAAGATCATAAATTTAAGCTATTTCAAACATGGTTATTTCAGCTAAACTAAAGCCTGCTAAATATCAACAATACTACAAATCCATCCTTATCAATTTACCCAGAGAAAGAAATGAATGGCTTGGATTCATTTCATATTCATGTGTACCCGACTTCATCAATTCAATCTCCATCACACAAATTTGATAAATTCGTAATGGTGTGTTCCTAACATTTTTCACTAAACATAAATCCATTCCGAACTGAGTTACTGAAATTATTTAGGTAATGTTTGTTTTAGTTTTTTAAAACATGATTTAGATTAAAAAAAAAAAAATGAAAAAATTTGTTTGGTTAATAAAATTTTAAAATACAACTCAAAACTCAATTTTCCCTCTCCTCTCTCCTTTTTTCTATTATTAATAAATCAATCAATTTTTTTTTTCTTTCTCCTCTCTCCATCTCTTATATTCTACACATCAATCAATCAAATTTTCTCATCCACCCATCTGTTCAACCCAAAAAAATTAAAAATCATACTAAAACTAATTTCGAAACCCATAATCAAACAAATTCAACTTTCAAACCTCTTTCCAACAACTTATCTTTCAAAACTCATTTAAAAAACTAAACCAAACGGCGCCTTACATTTTCCGGGAAAATTGTACAACTCACCACAAATTTAGAAAGCTTGAGAGAGAGAGAGAGAGAGAATGGGGTACCTGACGTTGAGGAACTGGCCGAAGAGGAAGAGGGGCCAGAAGTAGAAAGGAGGGGGCCAAGAGAGAGAAGAGACGGAGAATAGAGAGAGGAACTGAATGAGCTTCAACAAGTGAGAGACTATAGCCATTATTTTTGAAGGGTCTCGACCTTTGCCGCAGAGGTCCACCCATCTCTGAGGGTATATCCAAAGGCAGTAGTAGAAGGGGAAAGGTGATACTACTCCTATGCATGCCACTACTCCCATCTCTCTCTCTAAAAAAACCACACTTTCTGTGAATTTAATGGCCCCTATCTCTCTCTCTCTTGAAAAAATACTTCAATGAAAGCCCTAAAGATGACTGTGGTCCTTCACTGTTTGAGCCAGGGCCCAGCTAAAAATTGGGCTGGCTTAATATTTATGGCCTATTTTGAATTGGGTTAAAGAATGCTAATTTTTTCAATGCTTAAATCTTGTCAGTTGGTCCAAAAATGTGCCAAACTTGTGTCCTCAAGCCTCACTTCTCTCTCTGCCCAAGGGAGGATAAAATTCTAAACCAAAACATTTGATCTTGCAAAGAAGGTTCTTACCACGTTAGAGCATCAACATGTATCTTCAAAATAATAAAAAGTTAAAATATAGCTAATAAATCATCAAATTCTCCCTTCATCAGTCTCAATAATTTTTTTCTAAATTAACTTTTTGTTAAATTTGCTACAGTAACTCGTCTGATGAAGTGAGCAACTGTCCATCGCTAAAACACGCAAATTTGGGTGTAACCGAACATCCGCTTGGAAGTCCGGCTGGTCAACCAGTCAGCGGCAATTTTATTTTTTTTATTTTTTACATTTCCTCCAGTTTTACCTTTTGTAAAACATAAGAATTGTTTGGTTAATAGCTCATCAATTTTTTTAGGGAAAATTAGTGTAGGGTCCCTCTCCCACTTTTCGTAATAGAAGAGATCCACAAAATTATTTTTTAATGTCTAAGGTCCCTAAACATATATCAGAGAAATTTGACTCATGCATCACGATCGGCGGTGAACATTCTGAGTCTGCCTTCAAATCAACCACAAAGAGAACACGTAGTGAGAGCATGGTGTCTGAAGCAGAGATGTCCATTCTCGGTGTTCATCACCTCTCCGTTCCCAAAACCCCCATCCTACCCATTGAAAAGCCCTTCTTCTCCTTCTCCTTCTCCGACTCTGGGTCGGTTGTTTCGAGTACTGCGTTTGTTCCAACCATTCGTTCTGGTAGCCACACAGACAAAGGACACCGTCAATTCAACGAAGACGAACACATCCTAATCGACCATCTCTCTACCCAATTACCCTCTCTCTTCCTCTCTCCATCACCGACTTCTTTCTACGCCATCTTCGATGGACACGGCGGTTCCAACGCTACATCTTCTTATCTCAAACAGAATTATACAAAACTCTTCTTCCAAGAAGCCAATTTTCCCTAGAAACCCCAAGAGTTGGAAGACTATCACCGCAAAGCTTTTCTAAGTGCCGCCGCCGAATCCGGTTCCTCCACCAAACCTCACCGCCGCTCAAGGAGTCTCAGCTGCTTCTCCCGGCTCCTTCCGGACCCCCCTGAATTCGCCGCCGACCCTCCGAGAGGAAGATTCATCAATCATCACAAGAGTAGGTGATGATGATGATGACGATGATGATGATGATGAAAGCATATAGTAAATAATTGTCAATGAAGCTTTTGTAGTTGTAGGGCAAATCAGCAGCACACACGGATGAGGGAGAGGAAGATGGATACACGTTACATACCACAAAACACATAACACACACACGGCTATCACAGACCCATCACACACATGCACAGAACACAAAATTCAAAATTTCTCTGGAGATAAATTCTGAATTTCTCTGGAGATAAACTCTGAAGTCGGAGAAATTTGGTTAAAACACATTATGAAAACACATTTGATAAATTCCGAAGTCAGAGAAATTTGGTTAAAACACATTCCAAAGTCAGAGAAATTCTGAACTCCCTGTTGCTTGGGATTGCCCAGATTAATGTATTTTCTTCCCATTTTTATTTGTCTATTCTTTTGATAATATGTTTGGTAAGTGATGAAATCATGTTAGAATGATTGGAATTTCATGTCGCACAAACCCATTATAATGCTACAGTTTCAAAGATGGAACTTACTAAGGAACAGACTGCAGCAGGATTGGGCAACTTTTGAGTTTCGGAGTACTCTCTTGGGCCATGGTGTGATGATATACATTGTTTCAAGAGGGAGATGTTTCACTGTGTTTTCTCTATTCTATTCATCAAGTCGTGGTAGTAGAGTAGGACACACATCGGTTGACCCTGCTGAAAAAGCACCAGAATATCATATTGCCAACCTGAAAAAACAAAAAAATAAAAAAATAAATAAAAATAAGAAGAAGAAAAAGACCAAGAAATAACAATTTAGATGAAAGTAACTCTGGTTACCAATGCCTTTAACTACCTAGGACTACTAGAATGATTTTTCATGGTCTATAATGCAAAAGTAAAGTTAATAAGAACTTCTGAACTTTACTACCTAGGCAAAACAAAACTTCTGAACTTTCCTTACATATTCTATGGGCACCATTGCTGTTTGGGTACATATTTGGAGGCAAGATATACTTGTAAGAAGTTGTAGGCAGTGTTGTTGGGCATAGTGAGAGAAAACTGGTTTGGATGGCTGGTTTGTGTTCAAATTTTTCTGGTTGCCAACTTCCTCTTAAATGTTTTTGATGTTAGTTAAGAGATTCAGATAAATTTGATGTTAGTCCAGAGAAATTTGGGAAAGGTTCAAAGTTTTTTTTGTGTTAGTTCTGAGATCCAGAGAAATTTGGTTAAAATGAAACCAGAGAAATTTAAATTTTCTCTGGTTTTAAATTTCTCTGGTTTATAAATGAATCCAGAGAACAAAATAAATCCAGAGAAATTTGAATTTTCTCTGGGTTGAACCCAGAGAAATTCTGGAAAGTCCAGAGAATTTCTCTGGACCAATTTTCTCTGTGACGTGAATTTTCTCTGGATCAACTTGAGGGACCTTAGACATTACGAAAGTATTGAGTGTCCTTTATGCTGTAAAATGTTAATATCAGGGACCTTAAAAAAAATTCCCCATTTTTTTATATATAAAAAAAAAAGAATAACAAATATTTTAATAGGATTAAGTTAAAATAGAGAATTTGATGCAGTGAGTGACTAGCTAAAATAAAAAAATGACTTTTTAAGTTATAATTTGACTAAAATTTTGAAGAAGCTGATACTAATGCTCTTAACAAGTAGCTCTACCATTTTTTATCTACTTGAATTGTGGTAACCATCTGCTAGTAATATTATATAAAGTAAAGACTCAAAGTGATATCTTAAAACTTGTCTAAGTGTTTTTTTTTTCCCTTGTATTAAATTTTAATGTGTTCATTGCCTTTCTTTTTTTTTTTTAGATTCAATACATATTGTGATATTAATACTTTTTTTTTACTTACTTGGAATTACACACAGGGTTTGTAACAACCGCTAATATGTGTATACATATTTATCCCATTTATTTTACTCCTTTACTTCATCTCCTATATGTATAAGGGGGCCATCATTTTTAGAAAATTGCAAAACTTATCATATTGGACATGTTTGGTATAATTTATCTAAGGTTCGTTTGGGATGTGAGTTGGTTTTTTAATTAGTTTAGCCTGGGGCTAAAAAGTTCATTTGGGATAAGTTTTTTTGATTTTTTTAACTTTTGTGAGAGAAAAAATGAAATGATTATAGGTTGAATGTAACATTTTATCTTATTTAGCTAAAATATCCTATTTTATCCTATATGGTTGTTTTAGTCCCAACCTTTATCCCAAAAGGGGGCCTAAGCTATTTATAGTTGTTTTTATTCTGAGAGTCTATGTTGGAGTGTTTAGTATAGTTTATACCTATAATTTATTAGGCAAATATAACTTAAATAAGATTTAAAAAAAAAAATGTGATTTCTAAAATCAAGGTGACGGATACTTTTGACTTCTACTTTTAAATTATCAATTTTTAACTGATAATAAGTTATACCAAACAATACTAATACGATAAGCCACATATGAATTAAAAGGTTTTAGTAAAATATTTAAGTGATATACACCAGCCTTGAAAAAGAATAATGTGACGAGAGGTCGAGAAACAAAAAAACTATGTAATGTCAGGTTCAAGTTTCACCTTAGCGTGGTGCAACTTTTACATCCTCTATGCCCTCTTATTTGCTGTAATATGTGTATAAATAGGTCATGCAAGTTACAAGATTTTCATTGTTTTTTTCATTACTGTAGAATCAACCAAATTATTCAAATTTAATTCATATTCAACTAGTTAAAAATTTATTCTAAATCAAATTGTTATGTATTTTCTAGAAAGAAAAAAAAAAAAAAAAAATAGAGAGAGAGAAATACTGAATTGTTCAGTTGTTGTATATCTGTATAATTAGAAGGAGATGTACACCTCTCTTTTATAGAGAGGAAAAGAGACATAGGGTGCCTTAGCACCGAAAGCATAACGGAAAGAGGGAACAACAATTATGAAAGCAGAAACATAATGATAGACTACAATGATGACTAACACTACTAATATACAATATTAATATACAATAATATACTAACAATCCTATATGGTTGTTTTAGTCCCAACCTTTATCCAAAAGGGGGCCTAAGCTATTTCTAGCTGTTTTTATTCTAAGAGTCTATGTTGGAGTGTTTAGTATAGTTTACACTTATAATTTATTAGGCAAATATAACTTAAATAAGATTTTTTTTTTTTTAAAAAAAATGTGATTTCTGAAATCAAGGTGAGGGATACTTTTGACTTCTACTTTTAAATTATCAATTTTTAACTGATAATAAGTTATACCAAACAATACTAATATGATAAGCCACATATGAATTAAAAGGTTTTAGTATAATATTTAAGTGATATACACCAGCCTTGAAAAAGAATAAGGTGACGAGAGGTCGAGAAACAAAAAAAACTATGTAAGAGTGGATGAGGTGCTTTCGTGTGATGTCAGGTTCAAGTTTCACCTTAGCGTGGTGCAACTTTTACATCCTCTATGCCCTCTTATTTGCTGTAATATATGTGTATAAATAGGTCATGCAAGTTACAAGATTTTCATTGTTTTTTTCATTACTGTAGAATCAACCAAATTATTCAAATTTAATTCATATTCAACTAGTTAAAAATTTATTCTAAATCAACTTGTTATGTATTTTCTAGAAGGAGTGAAAAAAAAAAAAAAAAAAAAAGATCTATATTTATATATAAGGCCATCTCTAACCCTCAATTATACTTTT